TCTGTTTCAAACTTAAAAACAAATAATCCTGTTTTCTGATCCTCCTTTGACTTATTTTGGCAAATAAGTTTTGGTTTCAATATGGTTTTTGATATTTTTGTCTCTATTAGTTGTCACATAATATATGCAATGACGTGAAGAGAGGCCTGTCTTTGCGTGCCTCTTTTTTGTAGATCGCTTAACGTTCAGTGTAAAGGAAGACTATTTTGGCATTGTTATAAAACATATCAGCAATTCCACTTAAATGTAGAAATATCTATCGCCGTAAACAAACAGAGAGAGAGAGAGAGAGTCCTGGGTTGGTAAAGTGTCTACAATTTCAAAATAACTCTGTTTATTTCATTCTCTCAATTGCTACACACGAAATAAAATGAATTAAGTCCATTTTGATATTCACTGTCAACTTGTGAACAACCCCGTCGTATTTTTCGATAAAAAGACTGCCACATTCAGTGTAAAAACCCTGGCTCAGTGTATTCATAACATTTTTCTAAGGACCGACAACATCGCAATATCAGAACATTGCCCGCGGCAAGCAAGGGACGCGCTAAGGTGCCCCCAGTGCGCTCTCAAAACCTTTCACACCGCTCTCTCTAGCCCTGTACTATTTCTGTGGTGTGGTGAACAAGGCCTCTTCACGGCATAACTCGACAAGTTTTATCTCACACAGCTCGCCACATGATCCTAGCGTGAGCCGCATGGACCAGCAGGTTTAGGATACTAAGTAAATCATATTGTATGCTAAGAGAAAGGAAATACCTCCAACTCGAGTGCTTGACTCGGCTATTTTACTGACGCGCTCACTCTTTTAGTCCACTTAGTTCTGACGGTAAGATTTAGAGTTGCCGTTTAGGGCTAGGTTGCGGTTGTTTTGGCTGAAATTATCTTGCTTTTCTTTCTCCACACCCTCTCCTTTCAATTAGCTTTCTTCGTTCGTTTTTTCTTTCTTTCCATCACTTTGGCGCAACTAATAATATCTTTCCGGTATCAAGCTCCTAGGAGATTAATATTTTACTTCTCATGTCTTTTAAATGACTTAAATAGCTGTACTTAAAGTTGTATTCATGGTAGTTTTATAAGTTTATGTCTTTATGTTTCACTTCATATTATCTTTTGATCATTTCACATACATGTACAAGCGTACTGTAGAAGCAGAATTCTGTATGTTGCCATTTTTGTTCTAACGGTAAAATAATTTTTGGTGCGTTTTATTTATTTATTTATTTATTTATTTATTTATTTATTTATTTATTTATTAAATCTGTCAACATGAATATACCATGACCTATACATGTATTTAGGTTTTACTACCACAGTTTCGTATAATTTCTGCATGTAGATTTTTCTGTCATTTTTCCATTCTGCCATTTGTAAAGATCTCCCGTCCATTAATGATTACATGACCTTGATGTATCTTGGTGAATTTTCTCTTATTGTAACAATAGAAAAGTATTCCACTCCCAGAAAGATAAACTCTGGCCAAGATCAAGAAAACGTTAAAATCAATGAAAACATGCACGGTTAGCGACGCCAGAATTACACGAGTGATGTAATGCAAGTTATTCCTCTTCAAACGTGCCAAGAAATGCACTTATTACATAAATCAATATGTCTGCTGTCTGCGAAAATTAGTCTTAATTCATGCGCCATTTATTCTCCTTTCTCTCTCTCGCTGTCAGTTTTTATTGTCAATGTTAAAAATGGTTAAATCACTTTCAACCAACTTATAAAACTTTGTTTTTATGTTAATTTACTGCTGTATTTTTTATCTACAGAATTATTTTATCAATTAATTCGCTAAATTCAATGCTTCGATAAAATCAGAATACATTTCAAATTAACACAATGTTTTATCAGGAAAATGATGTGACCAATCCAAATTTTCATTTGAGCAATTCATCCAGTACATGACTCAATTAACCTGGGCCTTTTTATATTTAATTTCTGCATCATGCTTACTCATATTCCCATTTGGTCTTCATTCAAAAATGAATTTCTTGATAGATATTAGTCTGTTTCTAGCAAGCCAGTGCGCTGAGGTCGCGTAGAATTAATATCCTACTGAGATTATTGTATCAGCGACATCCGCAGAGCTCATTATCAAAACTATCCAAAAAGTCAAGTTTGAGCTAAACTCGAGTTCTCCGATCTCAACGGATAAAATTGTCCAATCAAGTGGTTTTGGGAGAGAAAGCAAATAAATAGACGACAATTCAGCGTAATAGTGAGTGGGACTTGAGAGATGTCAGGCCGCGTCTTGGAATAGTATCCTATTAACGCTTGGCTTTAGCCGCGTGTGAACGCTAGCGTTCTTGACAGTGACACGCACACACAAACTCTCCTTCCTTACACTCGCATTCTCCAATTTTCCAATTCAACATTGGAAAAATCGAAGTAGGGCTTAATGCGAGAAATTGCAGCGTGTAATTCACCGGGCTGGTATTCAGTGAATAGAAATTATGTAGTAAAGAGATGGTTGACAATTCAGCCGAAAATCGCTGCGAATTAGGACCGTAAGAAGCGCGGATTAGGAGCCGGGAACAATGGGCTTAACAGAGAATAACGGTTAGGGCGGGGAGAGGACTGCGTACACCGCACTCGCTGGCTAACTTCAACATTCACTCCTTATACATAGCCCCAGCAAAGTACAGCGGAGACTGTATTATTGCGGTTTTCGCTGTATATAATAAACTGATCTATTGGGGTGTTTAACCTGTATGAGAAATCCCTTCGGCTTCAAGTACAAATTTGCTGTCTTTCTAATTCTCTTCTTCTGCGTGATCGGATATATTAAAACCGATTTTATGAAGTGAAATGATCATCATCATCATCGTTTCCTTAATCCCCCAAAATGCCAGGAGTTATTAAGGCCCGGTCATTAGACCTGTTACCGTATGCTTACAGTTAATTAGCTCTGGTCCAATTAGCGTCCGGTTAATTATGTCCAGGTTAAGTCTGGGACGTCAAAAGACTGGCAGGTACAGTTTGAACCTTCTTTTATTGTCCGAAATAAGACCGTTATTTTCCTATCAGCGCCTCACTTAAGGAACTGCCGTGAATTCACCTGGGTTTTTGACCGGTGATTGTCTGGGTTTTGTGGAAAGCGTTAAAAACAAGGCGACACGTCGAGCCTCAGATGAGCGATGTGCGAAGGGACCAGTTTGTCCTCTGTAATTTGTAACTTGAACTTGGTGTACGTCACCCCAAGTGTCAAGATCGGTAGAAAGTAGTTGTTATGTCCCAACCAAACTGAGCTGGCTGTTGATAATACTAACCAAACAAATGAAGTATCAACCATGTTTTATCTCTTGGTGTTTAGAAGAGTTTTACTTCGATGAAAGACATTTTAAGGTGTTGCTTTGACGTTAGGACAAATCATGTACTCCATTGTATTATGAAAAAATTAGCAATATTTTATTGAGATGTAAAGTATTGTGCTTATTTTATATTCTCAAGAAAACATAAATTGAATTGAGAAATCAATATTTTTTTCTATTTCGGCGTTTTTTAATTAAATAAGAAATGGGGTCCATGTCTGCTGTTAAACATTTCATAACAGTTTATTTAAAAAGATGAACATTATACATATATCATAAATTTCACAGAAAAATGTCATTTTGTAATTCTCTTTGTTAAACTATTTGTTGATAGAATAAATGTAACAAGCGTGATTAAAAAGTTAATTCAAAATCTTTACTAATTATTTCCAATTAAAAAGATTGAAAATGTATGCAATCTTCATGTTAAAAAAATTATTGCCCTCTGACAAGAACTAAGATTAATTTGCCAATTTCACAAAATTAATTATGCAACCGTTTTTTACCCAACAGTTAAAATTTGTCATTGATCAATATAAAAATAAAATAACTGGTAGATATTATTACCGTTATCATAACAATAAATCATTAAAAATAAAGCTTATTCCTCTTCAAATCTTGCCATGAATACGCTTTCACACAGGACAAAAGGCGGTGTCGCTGGCACGGTGCGGGGGCGGCCATATTTTCAAACTGTCAAACCCAGCTGGAGAGAGAGAGAGAGAGAGAGAGAGAGAGAGAGAGAGAGTTAGTTATTGCCTTTTTTCCAATGTGCGGTATACCCCACAGCTCTAGGAGTTTTTTTACCACCAAACTAAAAAAACCTGAAATGTTATGATTTCAAATGAATGATTGGCCTGTTTTCGAGGAAATAAACTAAGTGAGGATGAGAAATATTCATCGGTAATTTTGAACGATTTTACAGAAGTTATCAATTAGAGAGAGGCAGAGAGAGCAAAGACCGGAATCTGTCTTCACAGATGCAGACGTTTTTGTGACGAGAGGCGATATTTGAAATTATTTACATTTAATAATTTTTTAAACCAAAACATAGGAAACGGATAATCGGTGCAATAATTTCATTATAACTTGGCAAAGGGGAAAGTTGCAAAAAACGTGCATACAATTTAGAAAAACTATGAATTTTTGTTTTAGCGATTTTTATTCATTTAAGTTACTCTATGGGTACAATTCTACAATTTTAAATAATTTCAATGTTCTTTTAAAAATTTTTATTACCAAATAAAAATAATGCTGTGACTCAATTTCTATTCTCGTAATACCGTCCCACGTTACTCAAAAACCTTAGATGCTTTGGATGAGTTACGCCTGAGGAATTCATACAGAATTTTTCTGCATTGTTCTGTTTTTCATGAACCTGTTGTTATAAAATGATGGGTATGTACATGAATAAGTCATAAGTGCGCATTAATTACAATTTCAGACAAAACACTTTATCACATTAAGTAGCAAAGCCTTACCGCTGTTTCCATGTCTAACCATGTACGTGTACTGTGGCAATCATTATCTAGATATTACTTCTTCATTTTAAATAACAATTTTTTAAAAAAATTATTTTTAATGAAACATTTGGTTATATGAATTTCAAGAGACTTCTAACGTCATAATGTGGAATAGTGGATACAGAGATGGAATTCTTAACGTTTCCCAATTCTTTCCCAGGTTTTCTGAGATGCCAGGATGACCTGTTAGACGAACACATATCCCTAGGGCCAAGTGGTGCGGACCTTAATGCATTCGAAACAGTAAGTCTTTATCCTGCGTTCTCAATCAATTTCAACCAAGATTTATTTTCCCGCGCAGCGTTGCTCGATTTCACATATGTCACCTCAGCTATGGCACTAATGGAACCGCGCCGTTAATCATCCTCGACAGGGGCCCAACTTAAAAAAATATGGCCCGGACCTTTGTTGACTATGTTTGTCCATTAACTGTTCTTATTTAGGGCCAGGTTTTAAAAAATCTTTCGTAAAACGCGTGTTTAGAATGCTGCCAAATGTTGGCATAGGTCTTATTTCACTAACTGACACCGCACATCCAGTGAATGATGTGTTTATGGGTCTCCTCTCAGTAGAGAGTGCCCCGGGAGAGAAACCAGAGGAGCAGAAAGTGAGAAAAGGGCGGGAAAGCTCGAGTGAGCTCGCGCTGTCGATTTCACTGCATGTGAGTGTAATTGACAAGCCGATCAGTTTCATTTCTCAGTTGGTCAATGATATCGCTGCGCGGTCTATCCCCAGGCTTATTGCATACGGAGAAATTCGGTCGATAATTCTCTCACGCCGTGCGGAGGTAGTAGCAACAGAGTAAAAGAGAAATATACAAGTATACAAATATCCACCCGGGACTCCATGCCAGCACACTGAGAGCCCGCAGAAAGAGAAATAATCTCACAGGCTGTCACTGCTACGTGAAATCTACAAGCTGGACGAGCTCCAGAATTCTGTGGCAGAGATCGCATTAGTCTGTACGCCGTGGAAAAACACCATTAAGGACATCAAGCATTTTGACACCCGCGGAAGAATATTTTTTATAAGAAAACGTTTTCTACAATGGGAAAAACAACCGAATACAGCCCTGTGATATTTCGCATGTTTTATTGAACGTCTGAATTGTTAATCAATTATTTTTATTGATGGTGTAAAGTTTTCATTAATTTTTCCCGCCGGGTAGAATCAACATCTCCCGCGGAGGACGGGGCACTGCCGGCCATACAGTGCGGACAGATGATAGCGACCTTAGGGTCAAACCGCACTCTCTGATAGATTTTACAGAGCTTGAGGCATCAAAATTATTTTCTTCTTTATCTGTATTCTTCTTGTACATTTAACGGATGAGATCTGCCGTCGCCGCCTATAGAAAAAAATTCACAGGGTTTGAAAATGCAGAGAAGATTTAAACTTTCTTGATTTTTTGATAATAATAATGACAACATTATTGTTATTATTATTATTTTTGATGATAATAATAATAATAACAATAATAATAATAATAATCTATTCATCTATAATTATGAACATATTTTGGATCCTTGGTATAGTTACGCACTTTTTAAATTTCCCAAAATAAAAAGTCCGTACATAAGGAACATTTGAGACTGCATTATACATACATCTATTCCTTACTGGGTACCTTATTTTAATTGATGTCCTTTGACACTCCCATTTGATCTCTTAAAGTTTAATAGACGATATATTACACTTTTTGTTATTTTTTTGGCTTTGTTAGATGTTATTTCACGTAACAAGGGAAGCGGCATTTCCACGAAATATTTATCGGGTAATGAAAAAATAATACCGCATCTATTAACATCCTGATAGCTTCTAGCTTTCTGTGCGGGGAACAACACCAGTTATAAGCTTAATTAAACCCTAAATTATTTTAAACCCAATTTCACCAAATTATTAAACTAAAACTTAGAAAAAAATATTTCATTTGTTTGATGACCTTTACTGCAACTTTTAATCTGAACATTGTTTTAATAACTTTAAGAAAGATTGGTTAAAAAATCATCAATACACGACAACGTGAAAAAGACAGCAAGGAAACGAGCTATCATTGGCCTAAGCCTCTAACAAGCTGTTTTACAAATAATGATAAAACGTTCATGCGTCTTTATCGTCTATGTTACAACAATCGAACTAGGATAGCCCAAAACTCAGCAGGCAGCGAGCTCGGGATATAGGTCAAAGAAACGCAGTGAGATTACGGCCCATATAGCGCATCATCCTGAACATTGACTGCGAGTAGAAGAAGATTGAGTCGGGTGCCTCTATCTCCGGCACTATCTTCTCTTCTCCTGCAGCGTTCTAATGAAGCGGTTAAGTGCTCCACCTTCAATCCGATCCCTGTTGTCTCTTCGAATCTTCCATACGATCCTAATCCTTGTTGCCTCCTCCGCGCGTGAGATCTAATCCTGCGTAGTGCCCGCAGCTTTGCCGGGGAAAATGACAAGGTTTGCACGTGAAACTGACATCAGCGTGCCACATTGTGTTATGTGAAATCAACGCCCAAGCACGTGTGTTGTTTGACATTTATTATATTTTTTTCAGTGATGGAATTCATCTGTGAATATGACAGATAAACACACGTCACAAGCGAAATTTTTGGGTGCTTTCAATTTTAGAATCAACCATATAAAGATCACAAAATTTTTTCAATAAGAAAAAAATTTAAACAAGAAATAAAATCCAATTTGACTTATTATAAATGCTCATGGTTTCAATTGTGATTTATACGTTATTATGTAGAAAAGAGAAACCATAAATACATTTCCGAAAAAAAGAGATATTGGTGTTTTAAAATAAAATTTATCTACAAAAAAATTAAGTTTTTGCTTTGGACAGCAAAGAGCTTATATTCAAATCGTTTACTTTAATTAATTTTACTTTTATATTCAAATCGTTTACTTTAATTTTAAATCTTTTATTTATTCACGTTTTTTATAACACTCGTGTGTATTTTTTCTCTTTTATATTTTTTTCTGTAAAATTCAGTCAATGAGACTCTGTACAAAATATATTGTTATATGAGAAATTGAATTAAGTTGATAAATTTTGCACTTGATTAAACTTTAAGATAATACTTTCTAAAACAAACAGTAATTGTTGGATTTATATACATGTAGTGAGCGACTGATAAAATAAGATTATAAAATTATAATAAAATTTCCAAAATGTTCATTTAATTACCTGAAATTCAACAAGAAATTGAGTATTTTTAAAGCGCTCCATCTCCTATTTATCTAATTGAAAAAAATTTAGTTATGCTATCGAAGTTGGCTTTCAGTATGTAATTCTTTAAAGTAAACTATACATATCTGCACATTTCACTGCATAATAATAAAACCATACATCATTAATTTTTCACGCATAACTCTATGTCACCGGCTTAACACGATTATCTTTCCGAAAAATTGGGAAAATTAAGTGTATGTCTTCTGTAAAGAATGTCAAAGTAAAAATAATCCGTCACAAACAACACATCAATGCGGTAACCAACGACCTCCCTGATAACAATCACGTCAGCGTTGTCATCCGCTCTTAACTCTACTAAGGGACGTGGCACTTGATTGTCACCTTGCTTGACACCAATCGAACTATCGGCGTCCCTAGATCACAGCCACGATAAACTGAAGTGTCATAATTTAATTATAGTGTCATCAAGGTGCCATGTAATGTCAAACAAAGTCAAGTCACTGCCAGATAATTCCCAATAGACGTGTCATACAAGCAAATAGTGATCGGAGTGATCTGACATTTCAATCTAGAGACTGGGACAAGGGTCCCATAGCTGATCTTTTTAAATCATAATTTTCGACCTTTCGATCGCGGATGTGGAGAAGAGTACTGCCTGACACGATCTTTGCTCTCCCAATGGCCCCCCTTACTTGCTTGAGATTTTTTTTTTTCGTCAACCAAGAAGAGGTTGAGGTGTTTAGAAAAATCCAGCTAGAACTGCTGATGCGTGCGTTAACTTTGATGGGGGAAATGCAAAGCTCCACAACGACAAGGATCGTAGGGTCACCACTACATTAAGGTTTACGTACACGTCCCTGTCAATGTCCCTGATCCGCTCTTTGTCGCGTTTGACTCAATCCCTTCTTTATTCTTCCCCCTTTACCAAGCAGCCCGAGTCTTTAAACCCATTGTGCTCAGAAAAATAGTTTTCTCCCTCCGTTTTGGAGAAGTGACAAGTAAGTAAAGTGCAACATAAAGGGACCCATACCTTCCCACGACGAAGTGAGTTGACGAATACCTCATTATGGCTCTAAATCCCTGCTAAAGGACCTTTGTGAAGGTATTTCGCTTTGCCGTAACCTAATGAGCCGAGGGGGAGTCGTAAAGAGGGGGCTAAACGGTAAGACTCAGGGCAGCCCAAATCGACTTGAACATCACGGTAAACGGAGCACTTCAGGCATTTCTGACGACAACACTCCAAGGTTAAAAAATCGGAGCCATTTTAATCCCTTCTCTGTATAGAAGTGATTGTTATAAAAAGAATTTGACGTACTCGCGACTCGCAAATCCCTCTCATTTTCTTTATCACGTACAACAAAAGTGCTTTTGCCTTGTCAAATCTTTTTTTTACTAGCTGATTGTATTGTAGGTACAATTTTCTCAAGGTGAATTCTTGAGAAATAATATCCGTATAATTAAGCGGGTCGAATTTTGTTATTATATTTTAAAGTATGTTATCCAGTTTAACTTGTACAGCCCATACAGATTCTCAATCTTCGCATTGTTTTTAAAAACACTACTCAAACCCCCTCGTTTATTACATTATTTCAGAAAGCTACAATTAAAGACAGCCAACAACTACAGATAAATCTTCCTGAATTTCCCGAATCGCAATTTGCGGTCGCGAGCTTTACACTGGAGAAAAAAAGAGGAATTTCAATTTAAATGCCTCAAATTGAATTGAATTTGATGGGGTATAGCTAAGCACGCTTACGCTACATAGTGCAGTGCAGCTCGGATCTGATCAAGTGACACCTCTCATTAAGATGCCAAACTCTAGCCAACAATTACAACACCCTGCTGTAACGGTCAATTGAGCACGAGGTTCTTTAACTGTTAAAGATGTGCATTATCCCTTTAGGGCAACGCTCATCGTGGCAGATCAAGATAACCATCTCTAAAACTGACTCCGCGATAGCCATGTTTGAAAATAAAGAGTTAACTACCACATCTTAAAACAACTAAAAGTGACGGGGGCTTGACAGCGGGCTTCCCCTGCTTTGACACTTCGGGATTAATGTCCAGTCCACGCATGCGCACAGCGGACGGTTCTCGCCTGTGTGTTTAGATGATCGCCTAGGTGTCAATCACTTGGTTAACAGCCAATGAGAGCACAGGAGTTGAGTGTCTTTCTGCTTTTAGCATGCTGAGTGAGTAATATGGCCTAGTGCGTGTTGACTTGGTAGTCCGCTCTCTCATTGCGCTCCCTGCTGCTCCGGTTTCTATTCGTAACTCGGATCGACTGCTGAGAGTATGACAGAGTCTCTAGCGGTTCATATTATGGACCACAGTTTGGGGAAAGGCAATCCGAGTTTGAGACTGCTGGATGTTCACAACCTGCACAACAGTCCCTCTGCTTCCTCTCAGCCTCCACACCAGCTCTCGCCATTGAATGGCACGGTGTTCACAGCACCTGTTGGGAAGTCAGAAACGCAAGCCGACATGTTAAACCCGTTCATGGAGAGCGCCCATACGGCGGCACACCACTTACCCCCAGGGGCACTTAAACTCAGTCCGCCGCACCCGATGTCGGAGCACGCCGCCGCAGGGGGGCAGGGAAACCCCCACTCGCACCAGTTTGGTGCCCAGAGCAACGGGTACGGCGTTCCCCACTCGCACGCCGCGCACCAACTAGGGAGCTACGCCGCCAGGGATTTCCTGCTCCGTAGGGAACACATGCCCACGTTAAGTCACGACCCCAACCCGGCGGGCCACCCCAGCATGTTCGCACCCTCCACCGGGGGGTTACACGCACCCCACCACTCGGAGCCGGCGTCCAGCCACGTGCTTTTTCCAGGACTTCACGATTCCGGGAGTGTTAACGGCCAGGTGAGGCTAAGCATCCCCGGGGCGGACATGGGCTACCCCAGGATGGACCAGTTCGGCCAGATGCCCCCGATGACCAGCCCCCGGGGACAAGACCACTTCAACCAACACCTCAACATGAACATGAATATGAATCATATGAACATGAACCCCATGGGGATGAACCCTCACATGAATCACATGAACCATATGAACATGGGCCCCCACGGCCCTGGGGCGTTTTTCCGTTACATGCGGCACCCGATCAAGCAGGAGCACACATGTATGTGGCTAGACAAGGACCAGCCGGAACCCAAGAAACCCTGTAACAAAACTTTTACCACGATGCACGAGATCGTTACCCATATAACCGTGGAACACGTTGGAGGACCTGAACAGACGGATCACGCTTGTTACTGGCAGAACTGCGCCAGGGATGGCAAACCTTTCAAAGCCAAGTATAAACTTGTGAATCACATCCGCGTCCACACTGGAGAGAAACCGTTCCCTTGTCCCTTCCCAGGCTGTGGGAAAGTATTCGCCCGGAGTGAGAATCTGAAAATTCACAAACGAACACATACAGGTGAGACCCTAGTTATCATTGAATGGCTTATATTTTCCTCGCTTTTAACTTTTTTTAAGATTTTAAAGGCGCAAACAAGGTACTTCAATTGATCGCGATTTTGTTGGCATATTTCACTTAAAATAAAATCTTAATGTGTTACTATTTGATAGCTGAAATTAAAACGTAAAACAAAATAATAAAAATCTATTTTCACGCTCAAAAAAATAACGCGCAACCACAGTAAAAAATGTATGTTTCTTGTATGTTTAGACATTAGTCACCTAGACATTGTTTTAGTTGCAAAATCCAACCATAGTAGGGAAAATACAATTTAAATATGCTAGGAAGAAGACAGTCGTACACAGCGAAATTTATCAACAATTCAAGTTCAAAATTTTCTATTTTTTATTCAATACATTAATCCCTGTAAAAGCACCCATTTTTTCCTTTTTTCTAAATTTTCCTTGATTTGTGATTACACAAAATTAAAAGCAAAAATATTTTTTACACATTAAATTTTGTCAAAAGTACGGCTGTTTGATATCGGACTATAACGAGTTGTTATTTGCTACATTTTAAACTAACCCAACAGTGCCAAATAATTTCCATTTCCACCATTAATAACAGCAAACAATTCCCAAAAGTAATCGCTAAAAGTGAACTAAATTTGAGCCGTGAGATCTATCGAAGATAAGGACCGGAAGATCAGTTTATTTATTTATCTAGAGCAAGTCAACCGATCACAATTTCGTCTAATAAGCAATTTGTGGTCGAGGCAAGCAAGGTAAATAAAGCAAAACATGCCACGGATTATTCCGTGTATTTAAATCTGACGGCAGGATAAGCTACAGCTTGGGCGAATTGTGAACATTTTCTCAGATCACATTTCTGCATAGTTTTCACTTGATATGATCATGGATAATACTGACGATAAATATTTAATAGAAACTTGTAAGTGCTACAGTAAAAACCAGACTAAGTGGGAAGTAAACGTCAGGTATATTTTCAGACTGGACAAAAATATTACAAAAAATATTACAAAACTAAGCCAACCCCAAAATATGTTTTAGAGATTTATTTTAAAAGTTCTGACTTCTGGGTGGCTCTGAGTTCCACCGCTCTTGGCTACAGGTATCACGGGCAGTAAATATTCGTACGATCTCATTGTCTCAGAGGGAATCTGAAGTTTTTGACTTTGGCCCACCACGCTAGCGGTGCGTTCCTACACGGACTGTGACATGTTCTTGCTCATCTTCTTACGGCGTTCTTCTCGCCTCAGCAGCATCTGTCAGTCGCGCAGTTGTTGTTCCCTCTGAGTTCTGACGAAAGTTAGGTCCGACAACTGCTAAATAATCCTCCGCTTGAATGCATGGGATTCCATCATGGCGTCGTTGTAGAAGTTCACGGGCTATTTTTATTTGGGACAAATTTCTGCCATGTTACTTCCACCTTGGATAAGCAGCGGTGCTAGGCCAAGAAAAAATGAGATAAAATAGGTTGTTGTTTTTTTTACATTTTGATATCCACTCTCATAATGAAGAAATAAATATCCTTGTCATCAGTTTTTCTTACATTGGACAATTTTTGTCGTGAACTTGAAAGTTGACATAATTTTCGTGACAGACGACTGTAAGTTGGCATATGTCTATTTTAACAAGTCCTTTTATTTACCACACTAAAACTACGGCACAGCTATCACTTTCTTTGATATTTTACAGTTGAATTGGCACTGAAGTACCAGGGGTACAAATCCGCTGATAGGAAGTTCATTGATATTTTCTCTCATTCATTGTGGCAGTTCTGTGAAGTGTTGTGAGCGTGTTTAGCACGCTTCCGCGCTGATGAAACAGTTAAGTCTTGTGGTGTTCACAACTTTGCCGAATATTAATAGCGTCTCAGAAATTCTTGGTTCATTTATATAGCAAAGTTATTATATGTATGCTGCCAAAAGCACACATTAGCGTTTTTATCCGAGGATATTATTGCCTATGATCCTCTCATTAGAACCTATTTGATTTAATTTGATTTGGGCGGTAAGTCTCCGTCCCCGGAGAGAGATACAAACCTCTTCAACAATCAATTAGAAGGATTACAAGACTTAGGCAAACATGTCTTCGATATTTAGAGCCTTCTCAACTTTTCACCTGCGGCTGCAGTAATGTAACCATTAAGCAGCGGATTATTATTTATTAAACGGGAAATCCTTATTACCGCCTATGAACAGTATCGAAATTGTTCAGTCCGCGTAGAAGGGTTATTAGTCTCTAATCCCCAAATTCCTTGTCACTTAACTAGAATAAGGGCAGCGTTCTTACATTACGCAACGGGGGATCGGAACAAATTAAACAGGAAATTCGTTGTCGTAAATTCGGCCCTGTATCCTTTAGTTTTATATTGATGGGTGTTTTGGGAGGAATAGAAGTTTTGGAAAGGGATAGGGTGATGATATGCTTCGAATACAAAACTAAAATTTCTGTGAGAAAAGTAGTAATTCGGTGTCCTTTCCATAATATTCTCAGCCGGGATACTTCGAGAATTATTTTTACAATTCTCAAACACGAAAAATGATTGTTTCTAAGCGATCGGCGTAAGAATTAAGGAGGGGCGAACTTGTAGAGTTGTTTGTATGCTTGCATCTTCCTAATATTCATCAATTTTCTACAGTGCATTATTCTTTAAGAGCGATTATTCCACACGTGTGACATATATATAGAGAGCACGATATTGTCGAAAAATACAATATTACATCCCTTCCATGCAGTGTTTAATACAGTAGTCGTAAATAATACCATTTCTGTCGTTTCCTTCTATTGCTGTGCTTTTTTAAGTTCTCAGTGCTCAAAAACACTGATTTATAATTTTCTAATTAAAATCATTACAGTATCTGTGTTAAGGTGAATTCCCCATTAACAACTTCAAAGTTGTGAAGTGTGTTACAGCGGAAGAGGAATATGTCTAACAATTTATGATACCAATTAAAAGTTTCTCTAGCCTTTGTCCGACCCACAGAAGAGGTGAGATAATTTATTCAGTTTCCTGGTATAATTTAACCGAAGAAAATAGAAAAACACGTGGGTGTTATAAACACCCAACATCAAAGTACATGAGTATACGAGTTGAGGGACAGAACTCCAGATATTTATTACACTATGTCGGTCAGAGCCCAACGAATTCCCTCGTCTCTCTTCCAATTAAATGATTCTGATATTAATTTATGTGGTTTCTTAAGACCCTTACGTGACTTCCCTCTCATTATTCGATTATCTGTATTTCTGCTGAGTGGTCTTGAACTGTCTTAAGACTGTTATTACATTAATTTAATGGCTAATTATTACTCAGATTCATTTTGTCTCTGCAATGGAGCGAGGTTGTTTCTTCCTGCAAGGAGTGGGTACGACTACCAGTTACAGTAACTGGTGTGATGTTAACCACTTATATGTGGATGTAATAGTACAATCAGATTACAGGTGATTGGTACCAGGGCTTCTTTTCTACGTGTTTCACTTGATACTGTCTATTGTGTTACAAAATACGTTTACTTTGAAATGTCTTTGACTTCATATAAAAAAGCATTTACTGGCAGTGCTTTATGTGTGACGCGGAATGACTTCTAATGCAGAGGTAACGTCAGAGTTTTAAAGGAGTTTGAAGCATTGAAAATTATTATCTAAACTTTCTGTAAATAAGGAAAATATGAGACACACTTGTGAAGCGAGGAGCTTCTCAAAGCAGTAGGTGAGTGGCAATGGCACGGGAACCAGGCCGCCATTGACATAGCGGTGAACAGGGGTTTTGTATAGACCAATGGAAAAATGAAATCGGCAAATATTGTTAGGCCCTTAAATGAGTAAATATGTCTGTTATGGATTGCACATGTAGAAAGAGAATTTGTATGTGCTACAAATGGACTTGGTCTTGCTTGTTAAAACCAATTAAAATGCTTGATATATTCAACGTGGTCTTTAATATAATGACCAAAACGCCGCAGTAGCTGGAGAGGTCGGGAAAAACGCACCGAGAAGCCAGAGCGTGGGGTGAAAGCCCATTACATTTCGGATCATTGTTCTTAACACATACTTTTATAAATGTTTGCGATTACCCACTGTTTAAACCGTGTTCGCTCAGCTGTTGGTTGACTTGATGACTTTACCAGGCGCGGGCTGGGGCAGTAGCAGCGGTCCAAGCACTCGCTGGCTTACACCCCGACATAATAAACCCTATATTTCTCAGTCCGCAGTGAAACCAATAGATTGACAGCAGTGGTAAAATAACAAGCGGTAGCACCAACGATTTATTTCCCTCGAATTAAATTTATAGCTTCAACTCTGTTCTACTAAATAGCTTGGTGTCTTTAAAATCACTCAGCGAGGCGATTAAGACGCCGAATTCGGCAACCTGTTTCTCTGGAGTAAGAAGTTCGTCGTTGTTGATCGGGAAGGGAGGAGGGGGTATGTCCGAGTTGTTAAATGGTGGAATTTTCTGGCCGATTTTGAGGAGTTGTCTTGAAAACGGTTGTCCGCCTGCAGAAGTAGCGCTATCCACATGGGAAAGATTAAGGCGCTTTTGGTTAAACAAGCGGAAAATCTTCGCGCTGTCAACTCTATTTAGGAAGCATTCGCATAATATTTTGATTATCACTCACTCGTAAACGGGGGCACGAAAACCCGGCGCATCCGCCCGTAATCGCGCGTTTCCGCCTCTCTCTGGCATCCTCTCCCGTTCTTCTGTTCCTCAGGGTGACGGGCACTGAACACTTGCCCCCCTCCTAGAACGCTTACAAGCCTAACCTGGCAGCTTGTTCCAGCCTGGCGTTATTCTGGGAGATTAAACAGCTTAAATAAACACTAGAAGGGGGAATGGGAGAAAATTGCAAAAACAACAATTCTATTCGAAGCAGTCTGGAGCGAACAAAGAAAGAAGAGATTCATGATAAGAAGCGGAAGAGGTATACTAAACCGCTAAGTCCTATCTCCCAAGCGTTCTTACTAGAAACATCAACATGCCATTGCGATTAATTA